AATGCGAAAGCGTACCTGAATTAGCCATAATGATGATATCCTTTGTAGAGCACACTTGATCTTATGGTCTTCCACCTGAAAAGCACCTATATTTCCCTCTTAATTTTCTCTCTTGATGGGGATAGAAAGAAAGGAACATGAATGAAATTTACGTTCTGTCTGTGTGTGCTCCCAGAAGGGGACCATGACCCTTTAAATAACCAGAATTAGGTTAATTACTTAAGGTTTAATATTTCCAATTTGGCCCCTCATCAAATTAGAAATTGCTCTATGGTCTCTACACAATTTTATTTTCATGACATATGCCTTTAGCCAAACATTTTAATTTAATCAGATCACTTTATTATTTGACTTAATAAGTAATGGCCCTAACACATTTAAATTATGTATCATATATATACGTGACCCAATATTTGCCAACAATCTCCCACTGGTCACAAATATATATGTCCTTAGAACCTTACAAATGTGTTAGACTTTATGAGCTCAAAATTGCCATTATATTCCTTTAGCATACTCCAAAAGTCCCGTCCATTGATCATATCAGGATATAGAACCAAACCAGCTTTTCATTGCATTATCGCAACTAAAACCAAAAATGATTACTCATCCTAACATAACCAAATGACATGGATTCATCATGAAATGTGTAGCATGAAAAATTACGTGAAGTTGATCTGTACACGTCTATTTTCAACTGGTTCAAACTTTAACTTATCGAGATCGATATAATAACCTTAATGTACAAAGTGTAATGAATGAACGAAAAACCGCATATCTATAGATAACCAAATATGTCCAAAATTAATGTATACATACATGAAATTAAACATAGAACATAAAATATATGAAAATGACTAACTCCCACTAAACTACAAATTCCTCAAACTGTAAAACACCCATGTGAGCAACATGCTCATGAAAGACCTTGGGCGGAAGTCATTTAGTTAGAGGATCTGCTATCATGGAGTTTATCCCTAAATGTTCTATGGAAATCTGTCCACTCTGTACTCTTTCCTTAACAACTAGGAACTTAATGTTGATATGCTTTGACTTATTCGAACTTCTGTTGTTGTTGGAATACAATACAACTGATTTGTTATCACAATATAACTTAAGTGGTCTTTCAATGCCTTTCACAATTTGCAGCCCTGTGACAAAATTTCTCAGCCATATTCCATGATTCGACGCCTCATAGCATGCTACAAATTCTGATGCCATGGTGGATGAAGCTGTAAGGGTTTGCTTGACACTACGCCAAGAAACCGCACCACCTGCTAACATGAAAATGTAACCTGAAGTGGATTTCAAACTATCTTGATATCATGCAAAGTCCGAGTTAGAAAACCCAGCGATCTCCAACTGGTCTGACCTCCTGTATGTGAGCATGTAATATTTTGTTCTCTTTAAATATCTCATGACCCTTTTTGCCGCTTTCCAATGGTCCATTCCTGGATTGCTTAAATATCTGCCTAGAACCCCAATTATGTATGCTATGTCTGGACGTGTACATACTTGGGCATACATCAAACTCCCTACAGTTGATGCATAGGGAATCTTTTGCATTTCCTCAATTTCCAAATTCTCCTTTGGGCACTGATTGAGACTAAACTTGTCTCCCTTAGCAACTGGAGTATCCCCGAATTTACATTCATGCATGCCAAACCTTTTAAGAATTTTTTCGATATAGCTCCTTTGTGATAATCCTAAAATACCCCGACATCGATCTCGGTGTATCTGAATTCCTAATACAAAAGACGCATCACCAAGATCTTTCATTTTGAAATTCTTTGATAAAAATTTCTTGGTTTCGTGCAATATGCCTATATCATTAGTGGCAAGTAGAATGTCATCAACATACAAGATCAGGAAAATATACTTACTCCCCTTAAACTTGTGATATACAAAATCATCAACAATATTCATCTCGAAGCCAAATGAGAGAATTACTTGATGAAATTTATAGTACCATTGGCGAGATGCTTGTTTTAGTCCATAAATGGATTTTTTTTAATTTGCAAACCATATTCTTTGAATCTCCTTGCACAAAATTTTCTGGTTGTACCATATAAATCATCTCATCAATGTTGCCATTGAGAAAGGCCGTCTTGACATCCATTTGATGAAGCTCCAAATCATAATGTGCTACAAGAGTCATGATTGTCCTAAAAGAGTCTTTCGATGAAACTGGAGAAAAAGTATCTTTAAAGTCAATCCCTTCCTTTTGGGTATAACCCTTAACTACCAGACGAGCCTTATACCTTTCCACATTACCTTTAGAATCTCGTTTGGTCTTAAATATCCACTTGCAACCAATGGGTTTCATACCTTCTGGTAATGGGACAAGTTCCCAAACCTTGTTGTCTTACATGAACTTGTACTCCTCCTTCATTGCTTCAATCCACTTTTCAGAGTTAGAACCTTGCATGACTTGACGGAAGTTAACTGGGTCATCTTCCATCATACTATTGTTTTCCTCATGTTCCTGAAGAAATACCATGTAATCATTCGAAATAGCACTTCTTCTTTCTCTAGTGGATCTCCGCAAAGTTATTGGCTCATGATGCCCATGTTCTTGAGGATCTTGAGTTTGTTCTTCATGAATAACCAAATCATCTTGAGTAAGTGGAGGTTTCGAACTTACTTTATCAAAAGTAACTGTTTGAATCGGTTCTGGAATTATTACCGATTCTTCCTCCAAGACAAAGTTCTTAATTTTATTCTTCCCCCCAAACTCAATATCCTCAAAGAATGTAGCAGTTCCCGTCTCAAAAATTGTCTTTAATGTGGGATCATAAAATTTATATCCCCTGAATCTTTCAGCATAACCAATAAAATAACTACTTAATGTTCGGGAGTCCAATTTCTTTTCATTTGGCTTATAAGGCATTGCCTCAGCTGGACATCCCCGCACATGGAAATGCTTCAGACTAGGCTGTCGCCCAGTCCAAAGCTCATAAGGTGTTTTGGTAGCTGCTTTAGTTGGTACTCTGTTTAGAATATAAGTTGTCGTCTTTAATGCCTCTCCCCAGAGTGACTCCGGTAAGGTGGAATGACAAATCATACTCCTAACCATATCTTTAAGAGTTCGGTTTCGTCTTTCAACAACACCATTCATACTAGGTGATCCCGACATGGTATACTGTGGGACAATTCCATACTCCTCTAAGTACCTGGCAAAAGGTCCTGGACGGTGTTCACCTAACCCGTCATATCTGCCATAGTACTCACCACCACGATCAGACCTGACAGACTTAATTCTTTTGTTGAGTTCATTTTCAACTTCAGCTTTAAATGTTTTGAATACGTCCAGAGATTGTGATTTTTCATGTATAAGAAATAAGTATGCATATCGTGAGTAATCGTCTATGAATGATATAAAGTATTGTTGACCATTCCACGAAGGTGTAGGAAATGACCCACAAATGTCCGTATGTATTAACTCTAAGACGTCTGTAGCTCTATATGCACCTAATCTCTTCGCTCTGGTCTGTTTGCCCTTAATGCATTCAACACAAACATCAAAGTTTGTGAAGTCAATGGACTCTAAGATTCCATTTAACACAAGTTGTTCAACTTTATTTTTAGAGATGTGACCTAAGCGCCTGTGCCATAATGCTCCTGAGTGAGTATAATCAATTTTACGTTTAGTACCCCGTGATTCTGTATTAAGGGTTTCATTATAGGTGGTCACAGTATCAAGTAAATACAGATTATCATAAGGCAAAAGTGAACCAGTTCCAACAATATCTGAATTAAAAGACAAACTGAACTTATTGTTTCCAAATGAACACAAATAACCTAATTTGTCCAAATAAGAAGCTGAAACCAAATTCCGTCTAAATGACGGCACAACAAAAGTGTCTTTCAAATCCAAATAAAAACCAGTACTCAATAACAATTTAAAATGCCCTATAGCTTCCACCTCTACCGATTTGTCATCTCCAACATATATCCATCTTTCATAATCAATTGGCTTCCGATAACTTAGGCAACCCTTCATAGAAACACTGATGTTAGTAATTGCACCTGAGTCTAACCACCAAGTGTTACTAGGTACAGACGCTAAATTGACTTCAAAACATACCAAAATAGGAAACATACTTTTGAAGATCGGAACATAATTTAAATTGGAAGATACAGAAATAATTGTAGTTGAATTAAGAACAAGAGAAATAAATTAATTATGCTCACATTATAAAAATAAATAATTATAAATAAAATATATATTTAAATAATGGTTTAACCTATCTCAAGACACCTAATGCACCATCAATATCAAGTTTTTGGGCAGTAATATTAATTGTTAGAGGTATCTTGTTGTAATAATCAAACATTGACAATAAAGCACGTCTAACAACAAACCAGTCTTTGGATTGATTTATCATCGACAAAGAAAATCCTTATAATTATCACATGTTTATCACTACAGGTGTGTATGCAATTCGACTGACTAATACTTTCATGAATATACACAAACACTAACATTCAATATTTTTTACGAACTACCCAATTCAAGAGAGGTTACTTTGGTAACTTCTTGACTCAATTTGTTCACAAAAATATTAAACTACCAAAAAATTAATATTTTATTTATATAACAAAACCAAATTTATATAATTATTTATTTATTAAATTTTTTTTATAATGGCACGAAATCCACCACTGCCATTCGTAAAACAAGTATTTTCCAACTAAACCAAACCATCTGAATATAATAATTCATGCCTCAGTATCAAATAAAAGAAAATTTTGATAAAGTAGATTTGATAACCAAATCAATGTTTAATTATTCATTTATTTATGAAAATGGGTCCCCTTCTAAAAGAATTTCCACCAGGCGCAGGTTCTAACAATTGAGAAGTGTCCACGTCAGCAATGTTAATGCACCAAGTGGTTATGCGCCACCAGGCATATTTGGCCGCCACAAACGACACAACGTAGCAAATCGGGACTTATGGGAAGGGGCCAATCTCCAATTTCAGTTGTATAGGGATCAAATGGCTCGCGACAATCCTCTCCCATGGATCCATGCTCAACTGGCTCCACAGCGTCGTGCCACTTCTTCGCCGGAGCAGGTTCCGAAATTAAACCCACCATCCTCCGTCCCCTCACGCACCTCGTGCACCAACAACTTCCTCTTCTCTGGTGAGGAGGACGCCGATAATTGGAGGATCATAGATAATGCCACACGTGGAACAGAGAATTGGGTTTTAAGAAACCCAGTATTCTCAATTTTGGGGGGTTTTTAATTAGGGATTAAGGGTTCCTTAAATTAATCTTAATTCTTAAATATTTTCTAAGATAAACATGAATCAAGTATGGGTTGCTCTGATACCAATTGTTAGGTAAACTGTAATTAATTATGATCTTCATTCTAACGATCAAATATAAATGTAATCCCATACTGATAAACATGTTGTAAACTGAATGCGAAAGCGTACCTGAATTAGCCATAATGATGATATCCTTTTGTTTCTGGTGAAAATTTGATCGATTTTGATTTCTTAGGTTCTGATCAAATTTCGACCACATAGATTCTTTTCGCTTAGGCTAGCGACAATTTTCAATCAAAACGTGTATGGGAATCGAAAATCCCATAGTATCAGGAAACGCTAACGATGCAACCTAGTGTGTTGATTGACAATCGAAAGTACTATTTTTGATATTTTATATTAAGAAACTCGAAGTAAAGACAACAATAAAGAAGAAAATATCGAATCGAAGAAACAATGTAGAATATCAAATTGCGGAAAAAATATAAAAATGCGAAAACCTCAAATTGCTTTAAATGTAAATGGCAAGGAATTGAAATCGCAGAAATGTAAATAACAGGAAATCGAAATTGCAAAAACGGTAAATGCAGGAGAATTTAAGTACAGAATCTTATATTGCATTGAAGGAAATGACAAAAATTTAAAGTACAGGAACTTAAATTGATGATTGTAAATAAGTTACTAGGGAAAGTAAAGAAAGCGGTAAAAACAATCAATGGGAATGGAAATCCAGATCGCCAGAAATTTCATGATTCGTCGTTCTCCGGTAGACTTTTCACTTGTGCTTCTGTTGTCTCTGTCAATTTCTCCTTTTTTCTTCAAGCTTCGTTATATTTATAGGTATCCTTCAATATAACCTCCCAAGAGCAGTTAAAAAACTGTCACCACGTTCCATGTGCACGTTCCTCGATTTTTACCTTAGTTTACGGTTTAGAAAACCGCTTCCACGTTCCATGTGCATTTTAACCGTTTCTCGATTTCTAACCTTAGCCGCGATGTGAAAAGCCACTCCTCATGTTCCATATGCATGATAACCGTTTCCCTCGATCTCGATTCTAGTTATTGAGTACGATTTCCCTTAACCTGGACTTTACACTATATTTTATCATTACTTTCATCGATTTGTTTCTCTCTTTTCTGATTCTCGATTTTCATTCTCGATTTATATGTTCATACTATCTCGTGGTCACCGGGTGTCTTTCAACCATCTTTCTGATTTATCAACTTTTTAACCAATCATGTGATCTTTGATTTTCTCTCTTCTGTTTTTCGATCCTTGTATCGATTTTTCACTAACAAAATGCCCCCTTGGAAGAATATAAATATTTGTATCAATTTTATATTCTTTCAAAGAATAACTCCCGCCCTTAAACGTTCTTGAAGCTCGAAATAACTTTTTAGGGTTTAGGGTTTTATGTCAAATATCAAATCACATCACCTTTACTGTCACAACGCGTATGCCACATTAATTACCCTTTTCGCATTCGTCGTTTCAAATACCCTAATCGGTCTCTTTAAATACTCTTATCAGTTTTTACCCTTGTTTTTTACCACGAACCTCACCTACTTCTTCTTCGTTGCACCTCTTCTTCGTCTTTAACCTTTCCACAAACTGTAATGGCGACTTCCAAATCCTCCGACTTCTCCACCCCACCACTTTCCTCGGTAACTTCAACTCTGATAGAGATTAATGGAAAAAAGTTTGTTCCAGTCCCTTTGATGGAAGAGGCTTCACAGAAGATTGCCGAGACTCAGGTACTTATTCCTTACGCCGTTGATAATATAGATTATGCGTTTGGTGGTCCCATCCGCTACTGTGGTGGGTCGTTTTCTTCTTCCCTCAGCCTTCCCTCAGAAAGTAAAGCCCTTATTCACAAATCTGAAGTCCGAATTGATTTCCTAAATGCTGTTTCAAAAGTATATCGAACGGGCCCCACAAAGCCTTTGTACATTAGATGGTTCGATCGAGTAAAGACCAAATTTGGGAATCACTGGAGAGATGTAAGGATCTTCGATTTTCTACATTTATCTCGATGTGATCTATCGTTCTTGGATATGTCCATGTTTCTATCCACGGTCCATTTGTGGAATAAAGATCTACATGCAATGGAGCTTCCCTGCGGTCCCCTTTCTCCCACTCTTTTTGAAGTTGCTGCAATCACCGGACTAAAACCCACAAGGGAGAATTATTTTAAGGGTGCTTTCCCCTCAGATGACTCTCTAAGATAAAAAATCGATTGGGAATCGAAAGCTTATGGACATTTCATCGAAAAACATTTTGTCGATGATCAATCGGTAGCTGATTCTGACGAGGAGCATGTGGCTTTTCTGGTATATTGGCTCTGTACCCACGTATTTTGCCCCCGATCCATCCAAATCTTGTCCCACTTCTATAATCTTGCCTATCTCCTCCATTCTGGCCAGCCCAGAGTTTGTTTGGCAAAGCTTTTATTGGCCCATGTTTGAAAGTGATGAAGATCTTATTGAAATACTCTGGCAAAGGTCTTGTTGATTTGATGAAGTCAAGAATGAAGTCAAAGGTAACTTTGTGGCAGTCAAAAGTCACTTAGATAAAAGAGTAAAGGGATTAGTATGTCTGTAGTTCTGCTTAGGTATAATCATTTTTATCTTTTCTGCTGCATGAGGTTTCTTCACTTAAAAGATTTTGCAAAATGCTTCTAAAAACGTTTAAACAGTTACAAACAAAGTTTTTTGATAAAAACTTTTGAATTAACTATTTTAACTAATAGCATATATGTTCTATCAACTAAAATGTTCTTCACATTTTTATAAACAAGTTTTTAACTGATATAATTTCGAAATAATCGATTAAAATCACTTAAAATGTTCAGAGAAGTGTTTTGGCAGTATTTTAATCGATACAACTTCATTTTAATCGATTAATTTCATTTGGTATACTATATGACCGATCAGAATGCGATTATGACCGATCAGAATCAGATATGATCGATCAGAAGTTAGTTATGACCGATCAGAATTATTTCAATCGATTAAATTACGTTTCAATCGATTAAATCAACTTAAGAAAATTTATACTACGCGTTTTAATCGATAATACAATCTTTTATCAATTAAAATCACTTGAAAAAGTTTATAAGAATATCTTGCAGTATTTTAATCGATTGAAAGATGAAACAATCGATTAAAACAAATTAGAAGATTTTTTACAAAGAGTTTTAGTTGATATAAACGTTGTCTTATCAGTTAAAACAAATCTGGAAAATAATCAAGAACATTTTAATGGATTAAAAGAAGTTTTAACAGATTAAAACAAGGCTTTTAACAGATTAAAAGATTATTTTAACAGATTAATTAAACCAGCAGTTTTGAAAATCTTCTATATAAACAGAGTTGCTTGATCATTTTAAAATAGATCTGATACACATCTTTTTGCAATCAATCAAGCAATCAAAATCACTACTTTCAAGAAAGAATCACGCTAGTTTTTGTGAAGATCATCAAAATTCTTTCTTGAGGCAAAATTGCATTCTTTTGGAGAAGAAACACATATTGCAGAACTGCATAAAACTGGTTTGAGCGTTTTAGTTTCTTCTGTTTTTTTCTTTACATTCTTTTCTGTATTGTTGGTGCTTGGAATTGTGGGAACTGGTTTCTCTGCAGCTGGAATTTGGTTTTAGAGGTTATCAAGAACAGGAATTTGGTTCTTGGTGAAAGGTTAGGTGCAGGAATTGGAATTGTGGTTCTTGTGGTAGATTGAGTGTAAGGTTAAGGTTGTAATCTGTAAAACATTCAATCTAGTGGAACCCAGCTGGAATTTGGCTGGAGACTGGACGTAGCCCTGGGATTGGGTGAACCAGTATAAAACTTGGTGATATCTTTCTAAACCTTTCTTTTCTTTAATTCTGTTGCTGCATTTATTTTTGATTGCTTGCTGTGTGATTCAAGAACATATTTGAAATCTTAATTTTTGAAATAGAAAATTTGTTAATTGCGAAAATCTTTCAAAGATCAATTCACCCCCCCTCTTGATCTCAGCCTCTTTTTCTAACAATGTTTATACTACTTTCGATGAGGCCGTCGACATTTTGAATACCCCAAGACCCTCAGGGAATTTCTCGGGTCCCATCTGGTTTGTTCAATTATGGCTTACTTCGATCTTTGAAAGCATCCTTCCCCCAACATCCAAAATTTCCCCAAGTTTAAATTTAGAAGGCACTCGATTATCATCTCGACATCCTCACCAAAAATCCTCCGATGAGGCTAGTTATCGAACTTACCTGAAATTTTTGTTGACCCAATTTCATTTTGGGTCAAATTTGGCCCCTTTTACCGTATATCATGGAAAAGTTAGTGATAGACTTCGAGGGTCAACTTGGTTTAAATCAAAATTCCCCGCTCTTACTCCAAGGTTGCAATCAGAATTAGTAGATGTGTGGAGTAATTACTTGACCCAGGATGTTCTTGTATCGGGTTTTCAATCGAAGGATATCCAACTCGTTATCTATTATCCCCAACTTTTTTCGCAGCAGTTTAGTCTAAGTCAAGCTTTACCTTTTTTCACTCTCGATACTTCCCCAAGGTCAAAATTAAATGAATCGAATGTTGGACGGGAACTTGCCAAACTGTTACCACAAAGCCCGATGCATTTCTATCCTTATGCTTTTGAGTCGAATTATTTGTCTACTCTTGGTTTTTCTCAATGGTGGAACGATTGGTTTTCACGCATTCATTCTAATTTTGATATCGTCCAATCGAAATTGACTGCGCATCCTTCTCTCGTGTTGCAGGATAAATCGAAGACAAAGAAAGGTACATACTCTCATTATCTCTAAATATCTCGATTCGAAAATTTTTATCGAGAATGCTACAACCCCCTTAAATTAGAAGAAACCTTTTACAATGTTGTTATCTCCCTAGTTAATAAAACAGACACCAAACGATCAAACCACAAAATAATCAATCCTCGAGGAAAAACTCCCTTTGAAATGTATTGTCCCAACTATCTTCCCACTTTCCCTACAGCTCCCTTTGGAATCGGCAAACCTTTAACTCATCCTAAATGGGTTCAAGAGTTGAGATCCTTGAAAGAAACTATTTCACCCAAACCCAAGAACAAGGAAATTTCGATATCGAAACTGTCCTACTTCCCTTACCTAAACCTTCCTCAAAATCTTCTTCCTCCCTGGCTTGTCCATATCGACCGAGTCAAGATTTTAACTTCATCACCTTTTGGTGAGATTTTACTGCCTCTTTTAGGAATATTTTAATTTTCTTCAAATTGTAATCTAACTGTTTTCCTTTCTCGACAGTTTTGAAGCTTCATAAAGTCGCTACCTCTGAGAAAGACTGGGAGTCTTCGGATGAGTCGGATCCATCTGCCCCCACTCAAAAGCAAAAGCATTCTGCCACAATTTCCTCATCTTCGAGAAAATCGAAGGTTTCTTTTCGATTCCCTATCATCTTATTTATTCGACTTCTTTTTCTATAGCTGATTCACTTCTTATTCAGAAACAAAAATCAAGAAAGAGTCCTCGAGCCACTCGACCTATCATAAATCTGTTATCGACGGACTCTAATACGATCAGCAAAGCAGGTCAAACGACATAGACCACTCATTCGAGTCACGTAAGAAATTTCCTATTTCATATAAATTGTGTATCTAGAATTCGATAAGGCCTATAACATGATTCCAAATTTCGATATTTTCAGGACCATCCATCAGCTACGGTATCGACAAATGTCGAGTCTTTGGTCCAATCATCAGTACCCATTTTTGAGGTATAGTTTAAAATTTTTTTTTTCGACTCGTTTCACATATTTCCCTTCTCTAACCTATGTTTCGATCCTTAGCAACCCGAGGATGTAAAAAATCCTTCTCCCACACCAACGCAACTCGACCTACCTTCTCCTGGTAATAATTTCTTTCTTTGCCCAATTTTACTTTATTTCTATTAAGATTTTTCGATTCATTTTCTTTCAAGATAATGTTGTAAATATCCCCACAGTCCAAGTTCAAGAT